TCCGATCAGTCAGTGTCAGCAGGTCTTTTGTCTTGCTCAACGGCACATTGGCAGTAGTTGAAAGTGGTGTGGACAGACAGTCCACATGATCATATTGGGCCTCACACAAGAACCACTCATGTGAACAGATTCATTCTTCAGTGGTACCAACGAGTGATTTAAAGGCACAGTGTGTGTAGCGTTATAGAGGAATCTGTTGGCAGATATGGAATAGGATATTAATAGGTATGTTTTCTTTAGTAAAACTAAGAATCGCTGTGTTTCCTACTTAGAATCAGCCGTTTATATCTACAGTATATCTGTAACATTATTTTTACTGTAATGTGAAAAAAAGTTGTAAATTCAGTCAGTTTTGGACAAAATAGTCACAACAGGTTCCTGCTATCTGTACATCCCAGTGACGGGGGGGTCATGTTCTCCCACACACACGCATGAGCACATAAATATCATCCAGAAAATCTCTTGTATTTTCATGGAACAGTTATGTGTTTGATGTTCTGCCAATCTGTGGCCTGTGTGTGTGTTTGTGTGTGCTTGCGTGAGAGCTGTCAGTGTTTGGGAGGATGAGGTGATTATGTAGCAGAAGGCTGTGTTCAGAGAGGGAGAGGTGGCGGATGCTGGAGCAGGGGATTGTGGGTACAGATATAGTTTTTAATCCCTCAGAGTGCAACAGCCGTCTGCACCCAACAACCTTCATCATCATCTCTCTCTCTTCCTCTTTCTCACACACACACACACACACACACACACACACACACACACACACACACACACACATAATGTTTTACTTAACACCAGTTACACTGTGATGCTTCTGATTAAAATTCATATTATGTCAGAGTTGCATTGCATTTGGCCTTCGCGACATATCAGCTTTAAAGCTGCATTAATGCATTTCTTTTGTCCACTTGGGGGCATTAAAAAAACCTGAAACACAAAACTAACACATGATTGTCTTATAAAATAGTTATGGCTAATGTGTTAGTAGAGCAGGCGTAAAGAACCGTGATCTTTCATTTGGAGTTGTGCTTCTGGCCACCTGGCGTATGTTAGTTGGACATTTCAACACATCTTCATATCTAAACAACTGAAGACGTTGTTTGCCAATGACCCCCAAAAACCACATATATGAAGGTTGGAGCAGTGGGCCTGATTCAAACACGTGGTTAATGTTGTGAATTGAACCAAAACTACTTGGTTAGGTTTAGGAAAGGATCATGTTTGGGTTAAAAGAAACGTCTGTTACGTAACTTATGGACGTACAGTATGTTGGGTACTTTAAGTAAGTTAACTTAGGGAAGTGAGATAAAGTAAGTCATGTCTCACAAGGGACACAAACAGCGGTCTCCTGGGTGAAAGTCCCATGTTTGTTTTGATAGCAAAGTAGCAAGTACGTTACGTACACATGGTTGAAAATGAAAATATGATTGCCAGATTTGCCACCTTTTATTTTGAGTAAGATACTGTGCAGTTCTTCTTCGGGTTAATAATGGAAAACTTACGAATGGTAGAGTTCATCGGCCCGTCAATGAGCTCCAGTTCTCATCTATCCTGTGGTTCTGGAGGATGTGTCACTTATCCAGGTGTAGTAGAGGCTTTACAGTATCCTTCTTTCAGTCTAGTTCAAAGACACCGGGATACTTCGCCTCCCAAGACTTCACAAATGTACTTGTTTTTTTTAGTTCCGGTGCATCTGGTACTCACGCACCAACGCATGTGCCGCATTGTCTGGTTCTGGTTCTGCAACAGCAATATTTAAACATCACTAATGCAACAAATATTTTAAACAATATGAATTTTGGGGTGAACATTGGGCTTTTTGCTGTCCCTATTTTTTCCATGTTAAAAAGTGGTTGCCACTGATGACAACCAAAGTTTAAGAATTGGTTGCCAATTTCTCAAAATCGTTGCCAGAGGCAACCTGGCAACCCAGTCAAGCCCTGGTACGTGAACGTAAGTTAAGTAAAGTATGTGCATTACGTAAATTAGGTACCTTACGTACGTGGCGTATGTTAACAAGTGTTATAAATATACATATAAGGACTTAAAGAATCCTCCAAAATCTTAATTCAGGGTCACTCACAGTACCAGTGATATTGGGACTAATGAGAGGCAGAACGGGTGAGAGAACACAAAGAACACCAGCTCCAGGCCACTGAATATTCCGGCTTATGAAACCTCTCCAATGGAGCGATGAATATTGCAGAATAATACGCTAAGAGGGCAATAGAGGTTGGGAAGCCTATGGTTCTATGGTTCCTTTTTGGAACTGGAGCGATGGAATTATTGAATGCATTGTGAGTGTGTGTGTGTGTCGGAGAGAGAGCGCTGTGTGACAAATGTGTGTGGTAAAGCATTTCAGTGAGCAGAATTTGTAAGGGAATATATCAGAGACAATAAAATAAAGTCATAGAGAAACAACAACTGACAACAGAGAACCAGACTGTTAAAGAGGTAGAAACACTGTGTGTGTGTGTGTGTGTGTGTGTGTGTGTGTGTGTGTGTGTGTGTGTGTGCGTGTGTGCGTGTGTGCGTGTGTGCGTGTGTGCGTGTGTG